CCAGCTCCATTATGCGGGGACTTTGCGGGTGAGAAACAAATAGGTCCCAGGGGTGGGCAGAAAGTACATGGTCCCTGCAGCTCCTCTGATCTCGAAGCCGCTGAGTCGCCCCCAGAGTTGGTTTGCAAACGAAAATCCCCAGGTGGAGTCGGAGAGCTGGGCACCGCACCGCCCGTCCGCCCGAGGGGGGCTACTCCTTGCATCCCGCTTCTGGTTGGGTTTCTGGGCCCGCGGGTTTCGTCCCTGGTCGACCCCGTTCAGGTCTCGACCCCGCGGCCGAAGACCTCCAAAGGAACGGCGACTCCTCCATCTTTCTCTGCCGGGGGAAGTTCTGGGCTTCGTGGTGCCAGTGTGTCCCAGCCGGGCCGGGCCGGTCCAGGCCAGGCGCGCAGTCCCTAACCCCGGCTCCCAGGCCGGATGCGAGTACTCGGGTCACATTCATTTTTGGTGCAGAGAAGTTTTTTCCCCTGTAAGGAGGTGGTTGCGGGGGAAGGAAGGATCGGCCGATAGCTGTACAACGAGCTCCAGAAACGTGCTCTGCTGGGAACATTCTCCCCAGCCCCACGGCGCTCCCCGGTACCCCAGTGCTCCCTCCCCACCACAGCTGGGAGGCGACGGTCACTCAGCTCGGGACGGTTGTTTTCCAAAGAGAGCAACGCCGTGCAGTGCCCGGCGGCGGCGGCATCGGGGGATACCTGTAAGGAACCGTTTATCGGCCGTTTTTCAAGAGTCGACTGGGACAGCACCACAGACCCTGCTGTGGCTCTCCGTCCTTCACCGCGGGTCCCACCGGGGCCTCTCTGCCCCTCGCAGCCCCAAACTTGGAGGAGTTCTTGAAAAACTAAAACAGTTATTTCTTAGGTCCCCGGCTCGCCCTCCCGGCCTTTGAGAGATGCTGTGCCAAGACTAGATACTGCTCGAAGGCAGGGAGTTTTGCTCGTCTCCCCGTTGCTAACAGGGAGTGGTAACGTGTTTAGACCACTTAAACTAGGCAGACATAGCTGGAAGCCATGCACGGCTCAGCTATGCCGGGAAAGGAGGTGTCATTTGTACGCAGTTACTTTGGTGATCAACACTTGAATGATATATGCCGCCTGCTTTAATTATATTCCTGTGACATTTTCCTGGACAGGAACGGACCGCACACAGCCAGAGCCGGGCAGCCCCGGGAGCGTCCTGCTGCTGCCCGCCGGGCCCGGGACTGTTCCGGGGAGGGCAGCTATGCCCACACCCCGAAATACGGTTCTGGAGACGGCAAGAGGAGAGGCTTCCAAAGGCTTCCAAAGATGCTACTCGTAGACTGAATTTTTTTTTTTTTTTTTTTTTTTTTTTTTTTTTTTTTTTTTTGTGTGTGTGTGCCCCCTCTCACGAGGAGTTTTGATTTCAGCGACAGTTTTCTCCTCTGTGACGAGGAAACGCCGCAGCTTTAATCGCTTTTCTTCCACGATGGAAGGCAGGGACCCAGACCGACACTTCCCCAAAGGTTTCAGGGGAAGCCCTCATCCATACCCGGGGACATCCAAGGGCCGCTGTACTCCCCAGCCCTGCTTCCCCCCGCCTCTCGGCCGGGGACTCGACTCAAACTTCAGCCTGCTCTAGGAGCAGGTGAGACCCAGGTCCCACTCAGAGCGGCTGTTGCAGGCAGAAGCGGGGAGGAAGGAGGGTGTTGGAGCACATTGGTTGAGGGTGTTCTTCCCCAAACGACCTCAAAGCTGGGACACACGACTAGCAGCTGCGTCCCTGCAGGACGGGCAGAAGAGCCCGAGGGATGCGAAGTTCCGTGGCGGTGGCTCCCGGCGATAGCCGGGGCTCCCTTGCTCTCAGGAACCCTCCGAGGACAGTGAGATGCAATGGGACACGCCGGGGGGCACTGAGAGTCCCTAATTTGGGGCTGGGTGCCAAATAGGCTGCCAAAAAAGAAAATTAAAATAATTAAATTCCGAAGGATGAGGAGGGGAGAAGAGCTCTCCCCCTAAGCTGGGTTGGGGGCAGCCCAGCCCACCCCGGTGCGCATAGCGGGAGTCGTTTGCGAGAAGGGAGATGCAGCGGTTGCAAAGGAAAAGTAAGCGCAGGACAAACGAACCCGAACCCGCCAAAGGCAGCACCGGGCAGCCGAGAGCACAGCAGAGAAGGCTCGGTCGGAGCCCGCCGGGGCAACCAGCGAGAGCCAGGGGACTCGGGGAAGGGGGTCGGGATCTGCTCTCTTCCCTCTCAAGCACCCTTTTTTCAGTGAGGTGCTATCTGGGGAGGGAGGCTGGGCGCAAGGGCAGGCGACAGGCCTGGAGCCGCCGGGCTGAGTTATTAATGCAACGCATGAACCCAGCTATTCCCTACCGGGCAGTGGCCGAAGCAAACGAGGAAGGGTCCCTCTGTGTCAGGAAGTTTGTACTGAGGCTGGTGTCCGTCCTCCCCAGGGCGCTGGCCCTATTAGGGAGCCAAAAGAAAAAAAAGCGGAGTGCTTTGACAGCCTTGTCCTCCCGCGTAGGAAGAGAGGGGAAAC